GCGTGCGCAGTGAAATAGCTCACGTTTTTATACACGCAAACCTTTGATAGATCCGGCCCTAAGCGCGGTTCGGTTCGGTTTGCGTGCTATTCCCACTCAACAGTTATCTCGGTTACCTTGCTCGGACCGTTCTCGGCACGGTTTCAGAAGGCTAGTGTAAATGGGAGTAAATTCACAGGCTTTCAGGGGAAGTCTGGTAGAGCAAAGAAAAGCAACAAGTTTTCACATTTCTGCAAAGAGAGACGTCACAGTCTGCATTCAGACGGACAACTCAGATGGAAACTGAAGTAGAAATGAAGGAGAAATTTCTGATTCAGAAGCAAACAAACTGCAGCATCATGGGGAGGTTATAGGCTTATGGAACACCGCACTGCGAAAATCAAAGGGGAAATTTGTGGATAAGTCTACTGGCCTGGGCCTTAATGGGATCAGGTAAGTAAAATGATTGGCACATAGAAGGATTTCTTTTGACCCTGAAAATTAGATAAATTTCAGTAATCAGATTAAACCCTTAAGCCCAGCAGATGCAGTAACAGACCGACTGACACCTTCTCATGATGATCTATTAGTAGAAATGGCCAAAACAGTCACATGGTGTTTCATCCACACGCCTTTCAAAATGGGGCTTTAAAAATATTTTTTACGGTGTCCTGTCTGGCAATGTGTCAATAAGAATAATTGTCTTGATGCCAAAAAGAGCCCAACAGATTTTACTTTCACAAGTGGAGCAGTACGGCTATTGCCATATTGCTCCACTTGTTTCATGCATATAAATAGCTTTATTATAATTATGCAGGGAGTGTTACAGTTTATATGGACACTGCAATGTAGAACAGAAAAACAGAAGAAGAAAAAGGAAAAAAGAAAAGAGAAAAAAGAGAAAAGATGAAAGAAGGAGGAGATAGAAAGGAGATAATGACAAAAAAAATAAAAATAAGATAAGATTAAAAAATTCCACCTGACGTGTGACTCTTTCTGGAGTAATGCAACAGCAGGTATTTATTTTTAGCCCTGCCCCCTAATGGCCGCCATCATTGGAAACTAGAGGCTCTGACCTTTTCAAGGAGGGGTCAGAGGTCATTGTGAGACCATTTCAGGTACTATAACCGGCATGCGTTACATAAGCTGCTCTGTTATTCCTATTTTCTATTTAGTTTAGTGATTTTATTGGTAAATTTCAATGAACCAACAACTAAACCTTAGAAGCAAAGGCTTTGTCTTATTCAGAAGGTCTCCAATAATGTAAATCAGCGTATTTGTCTGATCAGATTCCCTTTTATGAGTGGAAAAATGCATTTGGCACATTTGGCCACTTTTGGCACCATTGTACCAAAATCCCATTTCCTCCTAGCAAACTGCTCACTAAATCCTTTGTGGAACAAACATGCTTCAACTTATTCAGTCCACATGTGGTTGAGTTATAGTCCAGATGTGGATCTATAAAGTCTGACGGTTCATCTGAGTTTCTAATGGGCTTTATGGTGATTTTCTGTTTTTTTCTTTGTTTAATCTCCCATAAATCAGACATGATGATATTTAAAATAGTGGTTTCACCTGAAAAATATTCCTCATTTCCTTTCTTTCACAAAAATATAAACAGTTGTATTTCCAACTTATAATTTGGAAGTTGCACTTTAATACACGTCTGTATTTTCAGGCGGAATTTGCTCCTAAGACCCGTCGCGCTTAAACGGTTTAAGGAGATTTTTACCTTATTTAAGGTGCTAAATCTTTTCCTCCTCATTTTACTGAGATATTTAAATTAAGAGGAGATAAACTTATCCCCTCAATCATCCCCTCCATCTGTTGCACGGTGGAGGCTTTCATATAACAGCTCTTCTGCTTCGTAGCATCAATGAAGCTGTCGATGGAAAAGGAAATCTTCCTCTGGGCATTTAGGAAACGTCTACCAGCAGTGGAATGATGGAACCTTAATGCTGCAGAACTTATCGTTTTATTGGTTTGCCTGATTGTGAAAAAGATCTTTGGCGCTAGGTGCTTTGGTGAAAGAGGCGTTAGGCTCCGCCCACTTACCCTGGTGGTTGTAGCAAACATGTACTTGTCTCGGAGCTGGAAGCTGTCCACCTGCTCCAGAATCACTTTCCGGTTCTGCTCGCTCTGGAAGAAGTCGGTGCTGCTCAGGACGGTGGAGACGCCCTGCGGCTCGTGCCTCTGGACCAGCACCGTGGTGGGGGGGTCGTACGGTTCCACACCCCTGAGATGGTTCAAGGAAACAAAGGAAACAAAATCCATATCAGTTTTCAAATTAGTTTCCAAATAAAGCCACTTCTTTTCCTTTTTTGGGAGGGTTCTTTAATTTGAAAGTAAAGCTTTATTTTGGAATCTACTTTGTGGGCTCTGGCTAGAACAGTGCCCCCCATAACCCCCCCCACTCCTTTCATCAAATAGTGGGGAGTGCTGGCCTAGTGGTTAGAGCACATTGGGTCCCTGAGCAAGACCCTTAACCCTGGGTGCAGCACAACTTGCTTAACTTTTCATGTTAGACACCAGGAAACAACGGTACAACATAATAACTAGGGAT